GATTGGGTAGTTGCGTTGCCTAATCTGGATTCCTACTTCCGATACCACATGTTCAGACGATTTGAAGCTCATTCATGCTTCGACATCCCCGATAGATGTAACCTGTTGGGGACGGCTGGGGGGCTCTCGTTCTTCAGCCCAGCTGAAAAAAAATTAGGAGGCCAACTTCCTAACCGATAAGTCGATCCACACCCCTCAATTATCTTGAAAAGCCCCACACCTTTTATGTTCTTCTTGGGGGGAAATCCCAAAGAGAAACTCGAGAGCAGGGGCGGGGGCGTTTCCATAATTCGCCGAAAGGGTATGTATGCACATTCGACGGCATCAATCACAGGCAAATGCGTGACTTGTTGAAAGCCACATGCAGCAGACGTATAATCGGCCGACTACAAATGTAGTTTTCCTGCGAGGAAGAAGATGGTGGGATGTTGGCGCAGTCTGTACTGTCCACTGCAGACTTGGCTCTCAAGCTCCGAGCTGAAAACTCACATTTGTGGAAATGATGGTTTTTTGGTGTAACACGGAAATTTCGATGTTTCCGCATCCAATGCAGCTTTTTAACACGACCCGTCGCAAGTAAGGGAGGAAAGAGAATTGCACGACTTACCTTTCTCCCGTTAGCGAACTTAATTCACATAAATGGCTTGAAAGCAAAACATGGTAACAGTTCAATCTCAACTAAGCTTGTGATCGTGATACTCTATCCTGAGATCCCCCAGCTGAAGTTTGGTTACAAGGAATCAAGACATACAGGTTACCATCCATGCTGAACCATGGATTATCTTCGGTTGCTAGTAGGTAGTCGCCATAACATTGGCACTGCACGCCTAATATAATATACTTATCCTTGTGCCTGTAGACACAGCAAATACGAGTAGGTACCGACTTAACTGTCGAAACCGCTTCCCCCCCCCCCCCCCCTGTATGTCTAAAGATTTTCCACACCAAAAATATTGTATGAAAGTAAAGTCGGTACTCGTATATGCACAGCGGGCTTGCCGCACATGCGTCATGTGCGGAGGTATGTCTAAGATCCCCCCCATTGATAGTGGTGGGGTGGGACATTTTCGCTTTAGGCTGCTCAATCCCAGTACTACGGTGTAATCGATTGCTCGAGTACAGTAGGAAAAAACCATCGACCACAGGTGCCGTCGGTAACTTGCCTGTGATCCGTAGTAGGCTACTCAACATTTAACCAGAGAACGAATGTCTTAGCCATGAATCTGGCATGCCGAAGAGGAAAAATTATAGCCCATTCCAATTGCCGATAACCCAATAAGATCCAATTCCTCGATATTCTCACGGTGTTTGTAGAGTACTTTATACGAGTACAGTAGGCTGCCTAGTACTCAAAGGTAAACTCTTCTGCAATGGTGACAACGAAGTGAATGATCACCACACATCGTACGTGTGGCGGATTCTTTTCTCTCTGCCGTGCATGGCGACTCGTCATATGAGTGATCACCATTATACGAGCTCTGACACAACACAAAAGAGGAGGATCACCCCGTCCCGGAGTACACGTCTCGTTGAGATACAAGCGTTGATAATTGTATTAAAAATGCAGAATAATCAAAAGGTGCATAAACTGGATAGGAAAGCCCCACCTAGGTAGTGAGGAAATTCATATTACGGCCACAACACAATGTCCTATCACTCAATTACCGATAGTACATCCCGGATTTGAAAAGCAATTTTGCTTTGAAAAAGTATACAGGCGCCTCCCGTTATAAGCGTACTGTTGGGACCGGAGATCATACCGTAAACGCTCGCGCACAAGCATGCATGCTTATGACCTTCTGTGCTTTTTGATGTAGGCTGAAAGGGTACTAAAAAGCGTTTATTCACACCAAACCATACGTCCATATGGAGCAATACATGCTTGCTAATGGATACATGCTTATGCACCAGCGTTTACGGTATGCTTATAACAAAAATATTGTAAGCTATATTTGTTCAAAATTTCCACTGCCTAGATATTGGCATTTAATCTTTGTCTAGACAAAAGAACTGGCAATATATGCATGTTTCCAAAACAAATACTGAATAATCCTTCAAAATATTACTCTTTTAGGTGATAAACTTTTCTCTCCACAAGCATTTTTCAAAATTTGCAAGGCATATGCGAGTTGGTGAATATATGCCTATTTTGGCTATGGGCCCGGAGTGTGTATGCTTATATCGGATTTATGCCTATATCGGGCATGCTTATAACGGGAGGCGGCTGTATACCTTGTATGTGGTTCAGTGGTACGACCTTATAGAATAACACATTGATAAATCACTTTTCAGCATAACTAGCCACATCTTGCCCACAATATGAGGAAAAAACACTCTATCTCAATTCTTATATCTTGCAAGTATTCTGGTAATTGAAATGGAAATTTTTATGTGCTTATACAGGAACATTTGCTTAACTAGGTAGTAATATGTACTCGCGTTCGAATTCCAGCTTTTACAGACTTGAGCACTTAAGTTATGACAATGTTGTATAAATGGAAAGATATACGGAGATGAAATGGATAACTTCAAACAAAGTCGGACTAGACAAGCGGGGTATCGAGGAATATAGTCTCCTCTACGTCGGACTCAACCCCAGGCTCACTTCTCATCACGTGTCTAATTTCCTCTCTGGCCAAATTTCGCTTCCTCTTAATCCATGCTGATGTTCCGTCTTCTGGAACTCTCTTTGGACATGTAGTTTGAGGCAGGAAGGCCGGTCTCAAGTATTTTCTAGCGGAGATGTATTGAATCGTCATTCAAGAGAGGTTTTTGAGCTTCTTCTCGACTTCGTTGAAGCCAGTGGGGTCTGCGATTTCCAGCATCACTAAGGCACCCACTACTGCCAGGTTGTCGGCGTAGTTTGTGTTACCTTTGTCAAGACACAACTCAAGTGTCTTTTGCAACTGCGTCATTCCATTCGGTGCCGCTTGAGAATCCCTGGTGGGTAAGGTGGGTAACTTCGTCGATCATGACGCTCATCTGGTCGACAATGGTGACTGCAGCCATATCTCCGCCAATGGCATACGCAACATAGCCAGACCACTTGGGAAGACTGTGGAAAACTCGGATGTAAGGCCTTGCTCCGAGCGGGATGCGTCCAAAAAGCTTCAGTTCGTTTGCGAGTGTCAATGGGGCATCACCGCAACGGCGGAAATTCCACTTCTTGTCACAATCGGCAAATTTGACCGCATAGGCACGTAGTTGGCTTGTCGGGCATCCAACACGGCCTGCCTCAGTCACGCAGCTGCTGGGAACATGCTTATCGTTGTGGAAGAATGTGTCTCGGCAACTTCCTTGAACTTATTGAAAACTTCGTAGTATGGGGCCAAGGTGGACTCGGGGCTAAGTACAGTTTTCCCGAGCCGTTGTGCCTCAACACCCGAAAGCGTCAATAAACGCCGAGGGCAGTCGATGGAGTAAGGATATACATGATTTGGAGGAGAGCGGTAAATGAATATAGAATTCGGAGGGTGGTTACTGTTGGCTCTGCACAGTTGTATAAGTCATATACGTGGTGGAGGCTTTTTTGGCGAGTGGTTCAAATAATGATAATGGACATGATGGCTCCTTCACCTTCCTACTCTTATTTTCACGTATCTGCCCGAATAGGTAGTTCCATGTCTAATACCTTTCGGCTTTAAAGTTGTCTGTATATGAGCCATCAAATTACCGAAGAGTAGCCTACGTAAGCTTCACACTGCCTCTCTTAGTACGAATTCATAAGACACTCAACCTCGTATGAGAAAAACAGAGCTAACGCGATTGCAATATTATTGCTCTTCTATCCATAAACATGGCCATGTCCATACACCTACAGGTAGTTCTTATGGATCACGATCACTTATCATCGACATTAAATCAAGACGAATTCTTCAATCCAACATTAACGCTAACTTATGTGCTGCTCGGTTTACCTCACGTGGAAAAGGTACAAACGGTCAATGGCTTGAGGTGCCTGCGTGGCTAATATTACAATTTAAGTAAGTGGGTTTTGGCGTTATAAAGTTAGTTGGGGTCTTCATATCCGAAAGTACTTTGAAGTGCCATTGAGTTACCAGCCTAAAGAAGCTACCAGGTCTATCGTTAGTAGTCGAGTACCTGGGAGCTACTTAAGCAAGCCCTTGTTTATCAATTTTCCGCAGCTTATCTTCCAGATCCCTTTCGAGCGGTGTGGTTGGGTGTACTTCACTAGCCATAGTCTTTTCTCTATTTTCTCCTTCGGGTACTTATAGATCCCTAAGGTATATTTGGAATGGAAAAGCCAATTGCTGAGTATAGTTATACGAGTACCATTTTCGGACAAGCTTCATCGGCCTCCGGGCTGTGTTGGGACCAATGGCTTGGTATGACCCCCAATTTTTACCCAAAGAGCGAAATTTAAACTCAGATCATATCATATCGGGCTGAGTATAGAACCAAGTGAAAACCAAGCCTGGAATAGGTAGAGGCACCTTCTTATGGTTGCCCGCACCACTTTAGCTTCTGAAGTAGCCAACGCTTTACAAGACCACTGAAATAAATGTGATTTTGCACTATCGGATGCTTAAAGCCGAGTTATGGTGTTTTCTAACTAGACCTTGTAACATTCAAGGGCATTAGATGAGAATTCATCTGCATAGTACCTTGTACTTTGTTCATAAACACATAAAGAGTGAGAATCTCGATCATTCACTGACATTATTGACGTCGACCACACCTCTGCTATCATATTGGTTATATACTCTATTGAAACACCATGGATAACATGTATCGGTCTTATTTTCGCGCGGGATACAGTGTAAGTGACGTTCTGATAAGTTCTCGCAGCTATAATTGATCAAATACCGTATGTCTATGATCTTAATCTGATAAGTCCCGGGAATTCTTTGACGCAACATGTTTGAAGCTGTATTAAGCTGATATTACACCACCTCAAAAATTGGAAATTCGGTAAATACTTGTGTTGCAGTCATATAAATTGCCTACTTTTACAACATGATTGGAATTTGGATATCAAATCCGTCATGGTGTAGTGGCTAGCATTTCAGACTCTCATTGGCCTTTGTGAAAAGATCATGTGATCTCTGAGAACCCGGGTTCAATTCCCGGTGACGGAACTTGACATTTCATTTTACACTTTTTTACATGCATTACTTCTGACTACGTCGAATCAAGAATAGGAAATGCATTTTCACGTCGCATTAGAGTAAATGTTTTCCGCTTTGACAAGTCGCTTAATTTCTGTCATCCCATGAAGATGCACATTGAAGCTTGAACAAGGCCTCATTTTTTACTCGAGTACAGATTACTGGCCAAATAGGTAACGTAAAGTTGTGTGACTCTCACACGCTAACTAGGCCCATGAATGGCATCAGTGGCCCAAGTCAGCTGCAGAATTACTGGCATAGCAAATGCGGCATTCAGCTAAGATAACTCCAGCATCCTATACAGACGGAGATAGCTTTTCCAAATGGACAACGAAAATCTACCTGCATCATGATCAAAACCTTACTTGTGTCCTCATAAGTACCCATTCCCGAAGTACATTTTGATGGTACACATGCAGAAAATGGGCTGTATCGTAGCCTGGTAGGTGGCGGGCCTGGGCTGATCCTGACAACGATCTGTGGGAATGTTTACGTTCAATCACGCATGTATCTTGCCAAGAAACCTTTATTACTTCCGGCAGCCGTCATCGTTTAGGTAGAGCGTGTTGGCGTGTTATATCTTACCCCTCCAAAAAGGGAACCTGGCGGAAAAAATATTTATGAAACGCCATTTCCAAAAGGTGCTTCAATGCGCCCCATCTTTCGAAGCAACCATGCCCAATAAGCACTTTGAGTTTATGACAATGCCACAAGGCGCACAGCACTTCTGATTGCCAAAACTGTGGGAGCTTCAAATCCGTAGAGGATGCGCCATACTGCTGTAGAGGGTGCGCCCGTAAAGCCACATACGATGTTGCAATGACAAAGGATTTCAACATATCCACAGCTAATTATAATTGCCAGATGATGTGTTGAAGAAGCAAACCTTATCCTCGTTCAGGACAAGGACAAATCACAATTCTGATTGGTTCCTTTCGGCTCACATAAGCTTGTGTCATATGGCCGTTTCGTAGAGCCTCATTCGCCTGATCATACAAACCCCTACGCAGATCGGCAAATGGAGACGTCCATCTTCTTACTCATTAATTGGCTGCACATACAGAGTTTGCCACCGACCATTACCCACCGAGCTGTACCCATGAGGTAGACAGCCGGTGAAAGGAAGGCCAGCAACATTACACTTTCTACTCGTGAAAAAATGGTAAATCCGGACACTCAAGGGTCAAAGAGAGGTCTGTGAATAGGTGTGGGTGGCTCGTAAGAAACGTTTCTTGAACTCGAACTGTACAAAAACCACAGACCTCCTGTGGCCCTAGCATTATACCTTGTCCGTCCGGATTTACCATTTTTTCACGAGTATTAAAGCTTGATATAAAAACATCGTGAAGACCCATGCCACGGTACTTAACCTTATTTGCACTCGACCTCTACGTATTTTTCGGTTCTAGACCGATAGAAATAAGAAGTGGGTACATCGAACATCGGACTTAATGTAAAGCGGCCGAACGGCACTACTCAATAACACCAGGCAATTGATATCATTTCAGGGAATTTGCGATGCATTCTCAATGGGGCATAGGGGGTTGGACACCATCAATCCTAGTGGCATTGTACATTCTCGGTATGTGTTAAAGCTTCGACATCACATTAGGAACAGTATGATCTTGAAGCACAAGGCAATTAAACTGACCAACCGAATAGCCTTGGGAATTGCAATCACACACTACATATTCTACAATTACCTTGATGGTCGTCTTGTGGACGGCCCCGATGCAAATCTACTCCAATCCCATGTATCAATCATATCCACCGCCTTCGTCTTTCTCTTTCGGGCATGCCTTAGCGCCTCTCTTGCAACTGCATTTACCCAACACATATGGCGGGTGTTTCGCCGCAAATCTCTCGATATCCAGACAATTGACCGCATATACAATGTGTTGATGAGTCCGTTCAATTTGTTTTCAGCGCACTTAGTGAAGTATGCAATATGGGAGTTACTATTTGCATTTTTGTGTTTCAGTCTTCCCCTTGCAACTGTCTTCCCACCAGGTGCATTGAAGGTCATCACCATAAATACAGTAGCAGCAAAGTTTATCGAAGTACCGACATTTGATCCCAGTTTCAAAACCCCTCTGGAGGATCATCTAGGAGATGGAAGGATGAATAGGATGCACATGGTCAAACAAGCAGTATATAGTGTCACAGAAGACGGGGAATTTTAGTAAGTCAATCATTTCTCACATGCCTCTCCGTATTCATGTCCATCTAAGGCATTAACTATTTGCTCATTTTACTGTCTCAATAGCCGTCCTCTACCAGTTATTATCCGACCTGTGAAACAATCTCTTCTAGGTGGCGGGTATCTCACGTTACCGCCACCCACAGGTTGCGGCCAGAATTGCACCTACACCATCACATTTCCTGGCCCGTCTTTCAACTGCAGCGAACGTGAAAACAAGACCTTTGCCACAAAAAATGCTCCATGGTACAAAGCAACCGACAGCTACAAAGTTGCCTCTCTATACGGCGAGATAGGTGGGAACCAATTTATCCGCACTTACGATGTTCCAAAGATGAATTTTCTCGTCACTTGGCGCAACTCTCCCAAACAGTCGAATGCAACCTACCGCACAGCGAGCTGTGACCTTCATCACACGATATATAAAGTTAATGTCACATACAATCAAGGAGTGCAGGTAATGGATGTGGATCTGGAGAAAAATGGCTTAATCGATGGAAGAGCATTGACGTATAATAAACCATTTTCGGTAAAGGCATTTACGAATAAAGAGGTGGTTCTGGGAAAGGGGATGTTGGGCCAAACAAACCAAACCCTTTCAACTATTTTCATGGATAGTCAGCTCAGGGCCATTAGGGACTCTGTCGTCATGGCAATAGAGGGGAGTATCTTAGAAAGTAAGTACTCAATAACCACGCTCACTTCAGATATAACATTTCACAATTTTAGGATTTCCACTAATAGATTTGTCACCACTTGTACAGATGACCCTTTGATTTCAACGGATACACTCATACTGGAGACGAAATGGCAATACGATAACCGGAAAGACTTTGATATATCCCTAGGTGCAAATTATAGTTATACATCACCACTCGCAATCTCCGCCGAGGGCCTGGAATCTCTGTTGATTAATGCGACGCTTTCAACAATCGTGAGTGGAGGATGGACAACTTCCGCTAACGCAACTATACACTCAACGGAGACGGTATATTCTTTTAGTCGCCCTCGGCTTTTGATTGCCCCTTACGCCGTTGCCCTTGGGATAGGGCTATTGCTTATCTTGATTGGAGGGAGGGCCCTCATTCTCAACGGCGTTTCAGCGGAGAGTGGTGGTTTTCTTCAAGCAATAAGTACTACAAGTGGAAGTAAAACAGTGGCCGCGGCGACTATGAATGCCTGTTTGGGAGGAATGAAAAATTTCCGAAACGGAAATGTGAAGAACGTAGTATTGAAATATGGGGGTTTGAGATCGCAGGAGGTTTTTGGGAACGACCGTAGTAACGAGACTAGCGGAGTCGACCCAAGTCAGGGGGATGAAGAAAATAAGACGTTTTTGACGTTAAGGAGAGCGGGATTTGGGAGACCGGAAGAGGTTGTGCCGTTGAGGAAAGGCGACGCATATGGTGGTTGAATGTTTCCATTATTTTATAATTTCATGCATGACTTCCAGTTTTTCACTGAATAAATTGCGCATATGTTTTACCACGATTGTTTCCAAGGCTAAGTTTTAACTAATTTAGACTACGACCAAACGCTCATGAAAACTGGGAACTGTTGAAATCCTTTGTTCTTGCAACCTCGTATGTATGTAGGGGCGCACCCTCTATACGGCGCACCCTCTACGGCTCTGTATAAGCTCGATATGCCCCCGAGTTTTTCTCTGTAACTTAACTTGATTCACACTGAATATCATCGATCAATTTCAACAGGAACAAACATGTTAATTCGCTGGATAGTGCTCCACTGCTATATCAACACAAACACCCCCCTCCATCTGATTGCCCTAGCCTAAGATATATTTCTTGCTGGTGTATCGTGATCATGAGTCACAGAAGCCACCTTGACAAGTTTAGATAGCACGAATAATCATCGCAGATACTCTGATAAATGAAAGAGGAATATGTAGTACGAAATATCATCCGAGCTAGCACTTCCTCCATTTCAACCCCAAAGCCCAATCGACTGCCCCGAAACTTAAAGCTAGTGTCCCAGTTGCATCCCCACTTCCTCCTGCCTTACTGAGCCGAACTTGGGTATTGATGTTGAGCGCCTCGCCTGACCCACAAGGACTCCAGACCTCCTCGCCCTCCTTCGACAACTCGCCATTGCTCACAAAATTCTTCTTCAACGGGCCCTCCCAGCTTACTTCTGCACTGGTCTGTAATGGCGATCCAGCAAAGTAATATGTCACTTTATGCAACGCAGTGACGCCCGCATCAAGCGATACATGGCCAGCAAAGAGCATGGATGAGACGAGGAATTGATAGCCAGCAGGGTACTTCAAGCTGATGCTTGTTTGGCAGTTCTTGCGAGTCTTCGTGATCGGGATGCCTGGGCCGATGATAGCAGTCAAGTCCGGATAGAGGAAGGCGACTGTACTCGAGAGAGGGGATATTTGATACTGAAGGGTGCCTTGGGGGCACCCACTTCCAGCGTAGGATACGGATTCGATGAAGATGGCATCGATTGCTGTGGCTGCGATAGGGACTTGTGAAGCCGCTACGGCGGTTACTGTAAGTAATAAGGTAACGGGTAGCTTCATTCTTGAGGGATGCTGCAGAACGGAGGATATGAACGTTTTGAGGTTGCAAATGTCAGGAGATAGACTGGCCAAGACGACCGATGTGCGGGGGTTTCAGTCTTTCTTATGTGGCTTCAAAGGGACATTGTGATTTGACCATGGGAATGTATTTCCTGGTTATAGGAAACGTGGTACAACATATATGCTATATAGTTCTGCCACTACTCGATACTTAGATGATGTTCT